CCATTGTCTCTGAGTGTATCAACATGCGATGTCTCTGGAGCCGACAACGCCAGGTCCTCGTGGCCCTGGATAATGTAGAGAGCAGTGTACTAACAAACATATTTACTATCCTAATTGTTTCCCCCATGGACGATCTCTCGATTTTTAAATAAAGACCAGAAATCTACACACTCCATCACAGAGTATTTAGAGAGGGTTTGTGGTGTCAAAGTGGACATTTTCCGGCCAAAAAATCGGAGGTACAATTGTTTCTACTCTCGGCTCAGGGTGTCGATTTACATTTCAGGGAAGAACATGAATCTTCTCTTTTAAATTGAATTGTTTCATCAAAGAGCGGTTGATTTTACATATATTCACTGCCTAGATGATAGAACACTCAATGATCCGAGAAATTGAAATTTTCATTTTCTTGATATGTAATGGTGTATGTAAGATCATTGAAAGACTGAGGGAAAATAGATTCACTCAATTACGAGGAAACTTAGCGATTGTAAACTGTTAAATGAATTGATCTATCTGTCTAGGGGTACTGGATATGAAGTGTGGGGGAATTGTAATGCACCGCGCGCTGTTACGTTATCAGCAATAATTTATTGCTTGAGGTGTATCGTTGGGCGGGATGTGCCGCTGAATCAGGTTCGTGCTGTACCTCCTAAGAGGATTCTTCGGCCATTGGCTTATTAAAAGACGGTGGAGTTTTGGTGTTGCAGGGATGTTTGAAGCCCGTGAAGATAATAATACCGAAGGGGAGTTTACTGGACCCATCCGACGAGGCCGCTGTTGTTGGGGGAAATGTTTTGACTTCACAAAGGGTTGTTGACGTGGTACTTGCGGCTTTTGGAGCTTGTGCAGCGTCTCAGGGATGCATGAACAATGTGACTTTTGGAACAGAGTGCTGGGGTTACTACGAGACTGTTGCAGGGGGTAGTGGTGCGGTACGTAATTATCACATTAATAATTGCAGGGCTGAACCTCTTTCATTTTTTTTTTGTACTACAATTTCACAACTGGGTTCACTGCAGTTCCAATATTATCAAATACGATCACTCAATTTGCAGGATCAATCTTCCTGGTAATTAAGCTCTGCATAATTATTTATTTATTTTGATACGATTTATTTAAATTTTTAAATTTTATTTTCCTACACGGTCGCTCAGTTAAGCGGTGAGACATCCTTAAATTCCTTTTGTGTCTCCAGAACGTGATATTGTTTTGATTTCTTCTTTCCCGTCGGTAGTTCCGGTGGCACGAAATAAAAAGTTCCACCCTTTATTACTCATTTTTAACCTTTATTGCTCATCCGCCTCCGGATATGTTTTTCAATCGAATTTTAATTATCGGAAGGGATCACGACAATAACAATAAAAGATACAAACAATAATGTCGCTATGTTTCATGGATTCATCAATGAATGTTGAACTTTTCAGGGTCCAACGTGGAATGGTCGTGGAGGAATCCATACCCACATGACCAACACTCGAATAACAGACCCTGAAATTCTGGAATTGCGCTATCCGGTGATACTGAGACGATTTTGCCTCCGGGCAAACAGCGGTGGTGATGGTGCTTTCAGAGGCGGTGATGGAGTCATTCGTGAAATGACATTCAGATCACTCATGACTCTGTCTGTGTTAACAGAACGCAGGTCACACCCTCCACCGGGAATGGCGGGTGGTTATCCAGGTGTTTGCGGTAGAAATACACTGATAAGAGCCGATAACAGACGAATAAATCTCGGACCTAAAACCGCCGTACCAGTTTATCCAGGGGTTTGTATCAATTCATTCGTACACATTTTTTTTACAGCAGTGGGTCGAGTACGTGAGGACACGAGCCAAAAAATTTGAAAATATATCCCCAGGATTTTACACCCTAGACGGGTAAATCTATGTACGGCTATTCGTGATATTGAGGAATCCCGTCGTTTCGTAGTCTTATGGGAAGCTCTCGTAAAGATTTTTATTCCTACGAATGGGGAATAGAGGCGACCTCATTCTTCTTTTTTTCACTCACTGTATCTCAGCTTTACCGCCTTTTCTGTGTTTGGTGCCAGTTCCCGCACATACGCTGTACATCTCCTTCCCTTGGAACCATAATTTCGTGCATATAACAGACCGGAAATACATCTATCTTCCGGCAATCCGGAAAGACAGGATCATCTTTGGGTTTTTTACTCGTTTCATTTTATGCCACGATAACTCGAAAAAAAAAAATAAAGGACTCAGTTTTTAAATTACGGTTTTGAATAATGCTCTATTCCTAAATGGAAAGTACTTTTCGTTTTTCAAGTTCTGAACGGGCTATAGAGTTAAAGCCTTTGATTTTTCCAAGGCT